AGAATATGTGATTTAAGATAAGAAATTTTATTGCGTATTTCATCCTATAAATAAAATAAGTTACGACGCATCCGGTTTCTCTTGATTATGGTTGTTGAAACTGGGTACGAATTATTTCGGTTTTGTCTTGATGACGTTTTTTCACTGAACAATGTAAACGTTTTTCCTTTATTCTTTACATAGATGTAATATAAAATCGTGTTGTTAAATAAGAGAAAGATGAGACAAAGTTGTAACACTTCAATTCTATTTGATTGTGAGGGTTATACGATATAATCAGGTTTCGCAATAAGTGGAGAGAGATTCTCTAGGAGAGATCATATATAAAGGAGTACATGACGGAGTTTCTGCTCACAGTATATTCTCTTTTGCTAGAACATGTAATATGTTAAATGATATGATAAATAGTGATAACAATCTGACAATTAGAGAATGTTCAAGTACGAATAGCAATAGTGATTTTCATCGTTATGATAGTTCAAATAAAAAAACGATTTGTATTGTTACGAGCGTATGATACCAAGTCCCATATCAAGTATCTCGTGTACAAAGGAGAATAATCAATGGAATTTAGCTACACATCATTTACGTAGAGCGATTAATGGAAACAACTGTTCGCGTGAGATTGTGTGGATAAAAACTGTAGCTAATGACAATCGTGCAAGAAATTACGAGAATACATCTTTAAGAAATTTACAAAAACTATATGGTACTGACAGTTATGTTCAAAGGTTATATAAAAGAATATTTTTGGATGTGCCTTTAGACAGTGACGGTGAAACGTTTTGATTATCGTGTAAATAATGGAGATGGAAATGGAGGATCTTCTTAATCGCTCGAAAAGTATCGATACAGTGTGTGAGTATCTAGTATGGGAGCAAAAATGTGATGAGTGTCTCGATTTCTTGCGCAAGGAGTGTCGAAAAAGCGAACATTGTCAAATATCTACTGGAGTAATAAATTCATCGATCGCTCGAATAGCGCAATTGGAAGGTATGAGAAACACTTTGCGTCAACGTTTCGCACATGCGAGCACCAGTCATGCTCACAATCAGTCGGAAAAGTCTGGATTATTATGGTTGGAAATTGAAACAGCTTTTAAGAGACGTGTATTGACTGGTGTTATCCTAAATTCGAATTACATCGAGCCCCAACAGTTTTTAAATGATGCAAGAGACATTGTTTTTGAGCAGATACGTGATAATCTTCAGAGACATATTTGTTTAAAAGTAAATACGATATTCAATGGTGAATTCATTGCAGATGTTAAGAGAGCTGTTAAAAGTATTACTACAAAAAATTACGAGCTTTGCGCTACATCCGATCTGCGAGAAT